CATATATTTGGTCTAACAGGTTTTCGCTCTCCCCTTCCTTGATCAGGTCGCGGTATCTTTTGACGATTGCGCAACTTTCGTTCAATATTGCGTTTGGTACTAAGCGATTGGGGACAATAGTCGAACTGTAAAGAACTGGTTGGTAATAATTTTAAATCGCGCTGTAACTTCTCTTTATCACGTATCGATTTTAGCACCTCCTAGGCGTGAGAGATTGAAAAAATAACTGCATGTAAAAATTCTAGGGTAAACTTTTTGGACAAATTGTAAAACAGATTTACAGCTCTGCATTGCCCTTTGATACCTTTTGCGTGTAGCTTGCCTTTTCCTCGGGTGCCAGACGTTTCCACGATTTGGCGCCTTCACGCAAGATACGGGTGAACCCGTAACGTGGATGCTTGCTTTTGAAGTGTCGCAAATAATTCAAATACGGATGTCGCGTGAGTTCACGTTTGCTATTTTCAAAAGCACGCCCAAAGTTCGGAGCAATCGTTTTGCCAAATTTCAATGACATTTTGCGCAATTTCTCCTGTTCGCGTTCGATTCTTCGGCGTTCGCGACTTCGTTTGCTACACACTTTTCGGCGATTGCCTGTGCGTTTTCGACCTTGCGGTTTTCTACGATTGCGAATCATTGCTGTTTTTTTTTTTAATATTTAAATTTTTATAGTAATACTAAGACTTTTGCGAAGAATTATAAATGAATTAATACACTGAAAGAATTTGTGAGTTTTCGAAAAATTCAAAGAAAATATATAAAATTATTAAAATATAATGGATTTCTCATGACTCTCTGTGGCTGTAGTTATTCCTAAAGAGCGTTGACTTTTTGACTTGGAAATTTCAAGATCGATTAAAGCAATAAGTGAACTTATCTTTGGAATAGTATTAGTTCTCCCGAATATATAAATACATATCAAATTTGACCCGGATTTTTTTCTTTGATTGATATAACAATTTTGAATCGAATCGAAAAAGTTGAAGAAACAGTGCCTAAAAATTGCCATCATATTGGCTTTAGAAAAATAGCATCTCTTATGGATCGAGCAACCATCATGTTTTGGGTATGCAGCGTGTCAATGCTAGTCTCGTACCAAAAAACCTGAAGCTAATGCAGAAACGACGTCGAATAGCGATCGCAAAGGTATGCTTGACAACCTAACTGAAGACTCTACCATCTTTAAACGCATAATTACTGGTGAGGAGACGTGGGTGAATATATATAACGTCGAAACTATCCAAAAATTTGGCGAATGGCGATCCAAAAATTCGAAAACACCAAAATTCGCTGAAGGCACTGAAGTCCATTCTCCCCAAGCTTATGACAAGTGTATGAAAAATTGGATTAAGCCATGGCATGTTTGTATTGGCGAAGAGATTTGTTAAATATGTGAAAATTTTGTTTTTGTCAGTCCGGGTCAAATTTGATCATATGTATATATATATATTTAAAGCATTTAAAATAAATAAGATAAACAAAATCTAAACTTTATTAGCATTTCAAGGATTTTCTAGTGTGTCTGCTAAATATTGGATCATTTAACTGGCAGGTGAGTTCGTCGAGAGGATAAATTCAAGTCCACTTCCACAAACTGAGTAAAGTTTTTATGTTATTATGAGAAAACAAATACGAAAAATGGCGTTATTGAAATTTTTGTAAAATTAATTAACGGTTATTTAAAGTTAAAATAATTTGACGAGAGTGGGTTCTATAAGAGAATTTGAAGATAAATTCTTATTTATTTAAAAAATTGTAAAGATAGTAAAAAAAATAGTTTTAATACTATTAACTAGAATAAATATCGGTATCACAAAACAATTATATTTATATTTAACTACAATAAGGTTACATTTTACTTTTCTTCCAAATCTGCAATAGCGTACAGGTCTTTATATGTGCTTTTTCACTTCTCTTTAAGTGACTTATTTTACCCTCAATTGCATATAGATCGTGACAAATCTCGCTTTCAGTACATT